ATCATAATTCAAAATAAAATACGTTTTCTAAACTTACTTGGAATGTACAGTACCACTATTAGCTTTTTAATTATCACAATGCAAGATAAAGATCATTTCTAGAAGACAATTTTAACATTTTATTTTATGTATCACAATCGAGTTTCAATATGCGTGGGCGCACCTGTGTCATTAAACGATTGACGAAGAACTGACGTACCCAAATTTGTCACCACGTGCTATCATTGATGATATTTTGTTATGTGATAACAACTTTTTAAAATATTGAATATGATACACAGCAAAAACAAATTTAATATTTGAAAGGTTGTTTTTTTGGTCTAGGTGTACATCAAAAATATTTCACAAACACCTTAAATTGTAATACTGTAATATTTCGTTATAACTAGCTACTTCAAAGACGTATACTAAATCGACGTAAAACTAACGGATGTATAAAAATAGAATCGTGTGAACTGATTTTAACAGGGTATTGATGGATACGGAACGTCCATTATCAATCAAACGCGAAGTTTCACCAACCAATAGTATTTTCATATTTTAGTCACATCCACGCCGCTTAAGCAAAATAATATTGTTACTAATCAGGGTTCGAAATGTTCAAAATAAATATATCGTGGTAATTCTCTTGATAATATCGTCGGCTTATTGTAAGAAGTCATTAACTACGATATAATTTATATGGCATTAGTAACTTCTTGCAATAAGCCGACGATATTTAAGCTTATTGAATGTCACGGTGTTTAACCACAATGATATACAATTATTTTTGTGCAATTACTCCACTAGTTTGTAATAATTATTAATCAAAAGATCGAACACTATGAAAAAATTCCTTCGATCCGGCTGCATTCGAACCAATGTTTTCCAGCAAACCGTCCCAGACGCTGTGTCAACTAAGCCACGAATCGAACTAGCGGACTTTATGAATTTTTCTATGTACTTGTTGCAGATCTTTGTTTTTGGTTGTTAACGACTTTTTTGTCGTAATTATCTTGTTATTTATAAAATTAATTGAAACAACAAAATGCTACCGCTAGGAACGTCGTGTCATGTTTTTGTACCAGACTTTTCGACACGTAGAAAAGATTTTCTTCGTGTTTATTTCGTTTTTTCACTATTTGTCATTTTTAGCAAAAAATCGTCATGGATAATCATGAATATCAAAGAAAATAATATCTTGAGATTTTCGAATCTAACACATCTAATAAAAGGTCCACTACCACGTGACTTAGTCAAATTAAAAAAATATTGGTACGTCTAACTAGTAAAACTAGTCTATAATAATAATACTATAAAATTACAAAGTACTATTGGTTGTTGATGGTGAAACACAACTCTTCTTCGCGTCGCTTTAGTAGGTTTTTCACTTTACACGAAACCAAAAATTGTCATAACTCAAAAATGTGGAATTGAGATAAACACGATTTGAAAATTTAAAAAAAACCGAATGATACTAATATATTTTTCTCCTATTTACGCTCGTTATTTAGGCTCGTTTCCACTAGTTCTATTAAGTAGTACTATTAAATTATTTCAAGAATAATAGAAGTAGTGGGAAAAAAATCATTCCAAGTATTTACATTGGCTTAGTTCCATTTTTATCCCGAACACAATAAATAATATCAGGTAACTTCTATCAAATGATTATTAGTCGACTTCAACTGTATTTTTTTTATTTTGTATGTTCGTTACGCGATAACTTCTCGCGTAACATGCATTAAAAAAAAATATATTATTTTCGAGATAAACATAGAACTAAGCTAATGTAACATAACATGGAATGACTTTTTCCCCCTAGTTTTATTATTGTTAAAATATAAAAACTTTTTGTACCAATAGTTCTATAATAGAACTATTCAATAGAACTAGTGGCAACGGCAAATGGATAATTAAGTAAGGTGTATAAATAAAAATAATCATTATTTTTAATAATAATTCGCAATAACATCTGTTCAGCATTTCTTTTTTTAATTATCAAATTATGTTTTCTCAATTCCACAATTTTGAGTTACGATAGTATTTGGTCTCATGTTCTATATAATAATCATGCCATGTTATTTTTACACCGTTTTCAGATAAATAACTGTTTAATAGTAACTTTGTATTTAATTACACCCTACGTATTATGATTTACAACCTCAAAGCAAGTGAAGTGCGCGAAAACCAAACGCAATTAGTGAATTGAGATGTGACCACTCGTGACAATTGAAAATCTTATATTAGTTACAAAATAAATATATCTACCGATCAGAACAATATAAAAATAGAAAAAAAATCATCTTCAGTACATGACATCATGGAATAGAGTGACACGATTGTCCTATGATGAAATATCCAATTTGTATTTGACAAACGTCAAAAAAACGTCAAAAAATCTATCTTTAAAAAAAAATCTTATTCAATAAAACAAAACTTGATAGAATAGGAACAAAAAATCAATCATTCATAACACATAAATATGAAGCTACCAAGCTTATAGTGACAATATTAAAAAAAAAAGTACTAGAAATTATTTTTATCTAAAGTTAGGACTATTTTATGCTTTCACAGAAAATTGTAAAGTGTTATTAATATAAGTGTATTCTTTTTATTGTGACGCAATATTGTAAGCAACTGTTTAGTAATCGAAAAAAAAAAAAGTTACTTTTCTTTTTTTTCTGTAGTGCCCTGTATGCCTCTCTGCGCTAGACTTGCATGTATGACACCAATGTCACCTGAACTTGCTCTATGCGGCATATGCTCAACCTTGCCTTACCTTTTCAATTCTTACACTATACCACTTTTTAAAATAATTTTAGTATTTTAAAAAGTAGTATAGAACAGGAGAGGGAGGGTGAAGGGGGAGAACATGATGATGACGAGGGGGAAGATGATAACGAAGAGGAGGATGATTAGGAGGAATTTATTAGTCCATTTAAAGTAATTTAAGGACGTAGTGAACGACATAAAATTTGACAACGTGGTATCGTAGTAGATATGCGTAATTTTCAGTATAGTTTTTTCTACCTAGTTTCGGTAGCTATTTTTATTATCGAGTAAATTATCGTGAAATAGTGTAGTGTACTTACCACACTCGAATAATTCTTCATGATAATATTCTACAATATTTAAATAATAGAAATGGCCATCGAAATTAGGTAGAGAAAACTAACCTGAAAGTTAACCATATTATGGATGACGGGGAGGTGAGAATTTACTAAACCAATTTTCATACATTTACTACTGCGCAGTTAGAAACATCTCTTTCACGCGAATCGTGAAGTCGCTAATCAACTGAACTTGAATAAATAAAGACAAAGAACTAAACATTGTTACTTTGCTTATCAAATCCGATTAAAGTTGTAAATTAATTGTATTATTTTTTTTTATCTTGTAGTGCTAAAAAGCTGGTAACAATTCAAAATGCAATTTAACGTATTACAATCATTAAATGCGATAAAAATTGAATTTTTAGTCCAATCAAAATAAAGTTATAATTTTCCATGAAACATATTAGTATACTTATATTTGATATAATAATGTACTATTTTCTTTCGACTCATTTTTAAGTTTGATGGACTCAAGCAAATAACAACGTTCATACAAAAAAGTGATAGCACCTGGTGATATTGTACAAGAGTGATAAGATAAAATATTCACCAGATTGTTGCGTACTATTTTTATCTACAACGTGTCTAGAGGTCAATTATATGTATAAAATTCTGAAATAAGTAAAAAAATACATAGAAAAGTGTATGAAAGGTAAGTAAGCACAGATGATGTTATATTGATTTTCTTCTGTTACTAGTATTTTCTCACTAATTCTTTTGTATTTATTTTCTATGGGGGATATAAGACCCTGGTATCCGAAGGAAATAAAAAAAAGTAATGGCACACGTCGTGAAATATATTTGGGGATCTCACGTCGTGAAATATATTTGGGGATCTAATGATTGGCTTAAAACATATTGTCCGGAATGTGAAACTAGACCATTTGTACTCAGTAAAATGTTTCTCAAGGCCAAATACTTCACGCTCTTTTCCCAATGAGTTAGGCAAAGACCCAGCCTAACTACGATCCAGACACACAACTTTCGCCTCATCAACGACGCATCAATAGACGCTGGTCGGTTAATTTTGGACACAAATTGTCGATATTAACAAAGTAACAAATTGACAAGGGTTTATTCGGTAATTATGTACATTGTGTAAAAACATGACATTATACACAATACCCCAATTTTTTATGTAATAATATTCGAATTATTTTTAAATATTTAAATGATAGAACGTAGATTATTGTGGTTTATGTTATCTATATATTTGACTATCATAGTTCATAATATAAAAGATTTAAAATTCATGCAACCTGCTCATGCTCCTAACAAAATTCGTTATTTTTCTTAGACAATTTAATTTATTCAGTTAGGGAGTAACCACACTTATCGACACGGAATCGCATTAAAAAAAAACCTGAGAATCAGTCAGAAAAATCTTTATGTCCATGTACGAAGAGCAAAAACGGCGTTGTGCGTTTCGCGCCGGCGCGGTGATCTAAGCGGAAGCGAAACGCGTCACGTCTTTTTCGCTCTTATTGCATGGACATAAAGGTTTATGACCGACTTAAGGCAATTACGTGTGATTAAATGTGGTGAGTCTATTATTAAACTTAAATAATTTCAGGTAACGACTAGTCAGAAAAGAGGACGAATATAATTTGACATCAGCCACTGTAATTGCAAATGAATAACAACTTTCTTTTTTTACTAGTTTTACAGTATTGCGACACATAACTAATAGGTACTTTATACATCGCTAATCCAGTGTAACAATAATAAGTAATTCGATATTTTGTTTTCAAAGTAACGCAAATTTAAAAGTAGCAAAAGCTTATCCTGTATTCTATAAAATAGTAAAAAGTGCAATTTACAAATTAAATTCAATTACTGTTGCACCAGATTTGATATAACTAACGTATAGACTAGACTACGCTAAATGCTGTAGAGGCTGGCACTCACTCCGGCGTGACTGGCCGAGTTGCGCAGCGACTTCACCTCCATCGCCAGGGAATGAACTTCGCCGTTTAAACGCACCACCTGGTGCACCCAATGTTAATTTTTACTACACGGACTCACGAATGTTATAAATGTGCGGCCTTAGAACCGAAAGGGAACTGCGATGTGAATAGCAGTATAGAATAATGGGTAGTAATAAAAACTCCAAAAAGTAAATTAAAAATGAACTTATTCAAAATATTAATATTACTGCATTATTATTAAGTAACCGAAAACTTTTGTGCAAATGTGAATGCAATAATAGAATGAAATACTGGAAGTCCCGAAAAATCTTGCTGACCTAATACTACTCTACCAAATTAATTTATATTTTATCGAAAACCATTTTTTTCGTAAATCATATAATAAATTGAAAAGCGATCGTATACATATTTACTTATACACCTTATACACGGAAATACTACTATGAGTGACAACATAGGACATACATCGGTAAGTCGTTTTAAGAAATACTGTTGACGACCTCAGTGATTTGCACACTACAGGCATACCGCTTAACTGAGTCGGTTCCTGAGGTAGCTGTGCCGCGCGGGAGTAGTGACAGTTTACGTAACAGTTATGTCGCGCTGCACACGGAATATTTTCAACAAGATTTTTCTGACGCCATGAAATAGCAAGTTGATTCGAATAAGGGCCAAATTGATGATACCAAATTAGTCAATTGTTGTCATGTGAAACGACCATAAAAAATTATTTTATTGATAATTGAAATGCACAGACAAGCTATTTGGCACTTTTTTCAATCAACTTGTTATTGAATATGGTCAGAAAAATCTTTAAAACTGTTACGTATACTGTCACTCCTCTCGCACCGCGCAGCTACCTCAGGGAGTCTAAATTACTGTAATAAATATAAAAAAATACTGTCAAATAAGTAATTCTTGACCAAATTAGCGCATGATGCGAATTAAGCTTCATACTTGACATTATCTTAAGATTTAGTTGAGTATTACCTATTTCACAGTAATCGTTTCGGACGGATGTCGTACGGAGTACGGGAGTAGACTCCCTCGAACGGACTCAGTTAAGTGATAGGCCTGAAGTTTTCATAGTGTCGCCATCTCTGAGGTCCCGGGTCGGGTTATTTATCAGTAGTCCGAAATGACATTTTCCAGAAATAACGTTTGGTCGAAATTTCATAACCTCGAAAGTAATTTAGAGAGGAATATGTTTATTAAAAACTGTTTGTTAGGTTTAAAAAATGTTTTTTAAACCTAACTTTGCCTAACCTAACCGAACCTAATCGTGTCTTTGCGATAAGCATTCAACATATCGCACCCTTAGTAATATAAGGGCACAATCTAAAAAAAGTAGATTTTTGGGAAATCGTATGTATAAGATTCTGGATTCCTACATTACAACTGTTTTTTCAAATAACATGCTTATTATTTAAGTTATAAATATGAAATTTGGCAGATTTGTTCTTTGATATATGTATTATTATAAATAGCAATAAAAAAAAAAAATAATATAAATAAATTCCATAAGTTTCAAGCAAGTTCAAAAACACTTTCAAGTTAGACCCATATAGTACAAAAAATATAACAGAAATATGGAGCTATTTAAGTTTGATCCCATTTATTATTTAAGTCCCTATCAATTCCCAAATTTCCCAAAAATCTACTTTTTTTGGATTGTGCCCTTATATTACTAAGGGTGCGATATCCTGAAAGAACAACTGTTTCGTTATAATTTCGTTTTCGGTGTAATGAAAATTCGAGCAAACGTTATTTCGGACAAATATTTTCGACTTTGTTATAGGTCACCCCCGGGTCGATATTAAGATATAAGGCCGGGTCAATGAAGAAATCTAACTTTTCTACATTGCCCTCTGGTCTGCGTGTTTGTGGTACCGCCATTGTTTGCAATGTCCATAATACACTTACGTTGGGGTCAGAGCGATGTACTCGTATGTGATGTTGTCTAATATTTCACACGTGAAACCAAATGTTGTAACTAAAAATTATGGAATTGAACACGAAGTTCAAAAAATTACAGAATGGAACCAATTAATACATGCACTCGTTTATAAATGAATAATTAAATATTATGCATAAATAAAAATAATCACATTATTCGCAATAATTCGGTACTTTTTTAATTTTCCAATCGGGTTTTCTCAATTCCACAATTTGAGTTACGACATTGTTTTATTTCTTGTGCGATTTATTTATTATTCTTTGTTTATTTTTCGGTAACTCATTTTAACGCAGGTCAGTTAGTTATTACAATTAGCCTTAGTTCGCTGTAATCTAATTTATTTTTCGGAACCTTTATTATTTCCTTTATTTATTAATGCAACAACACCGAAACTAGCTGACAAAGGATATCGAACCATCTATCATGTTTTCCAAGTGTGCGTTATAAAACTGGTAAACATATAACGTGTCGCGAAAAACTCAGCAAATTATACGATACTTTGAGCGACCACGTAGATTTTCGCGTTGCAAATTCACACCGCAGACGTTTCAGCCATAAGCATTTATATTTACAGAAAATATTTAAGAAAACAGAATACACTTGGTTGAACATTACAATTGACCAGCAAATGATTTAAGAATATTGATTACGTATACTATTAAACCTGGTGACAGTGACATTTTGGCGTAATTGACAGAATTTAGTTTCGTAATCATTGACCTACCAACAAATGGACATCGGGTCAAATACAAAAACCACTAAAAAAATGTCCGAAGTTAACCTATACAAACGTAGTGACATCTAACGAAATATAAAAAAAAAAAAAATTTAATTTAAGTTGTAACGTCATTTCAGTACTGCCTAATTTTGCTTGCAACAATTTCAGGGCCCAAAACATCATATTGAGCTTCTACTGGAAACTTAACAAAACGCACCATATTTAGCTTCGACTGAAAAATACTTGAACATAAGAATAATGGAGTAGCCTTTTTCGTAAATATTAATTAATTTTTATATATATTATTATGTTTTATATATATTATGACGACTTTTGTACAAATTCACTTAACGATATAATAAAGAGTTGGGCAGATACATACATACAAATATTACTACAAATGTGAAAATAAGCTTGTACTATAAGAAATGTACCGATAATACAACTAAACGTAAACTCAAATATCCATAATTCCGAAAACCGATTTATAATAAAACCGATACGCTTTCAAGTAATTTTGATGCAACAAAATGTAAAAAAATACATTTGATATTATGAAAATTCGAGCTAACGTTATTTCGGGCAAAAGTATTTTCTGACTTCTGATAGGTAATCCCAAGCAGTAAAACGAGTACAACAATATTTTGTAAGTTATTGCTAACGTTTAATAAGAAATCACTGTAATAAAAATCGGTTCTCACTACTCAAAGTATATTTAGAGAAAAAGCATTGAATTGGAGAAATAGCAAAATCAACCATTAAAATAATTGTTCCTAAATTAAAGTTAGGCGCTATTTATAAAAATGAATCTTCATGCGTGAACAGCCACCCCAGAGGTGGATTATTTTCTTCAAAATAAAATAGGACCACTATGGAAGTACCCCCTTTCCAACAAAAAAAATCATGAAAATCGGTTCACAAATAATGAGTTATCGCGTAACATACATACAAAAAAAGAACATACAGTCCAATTGAGAACCTCCTCATTTTTTGAAGTCGGTTAAAAATAAGATTACAATCAACACGACTCTATATAGTTTCTTTGTTCCAAATATTTCAATCACTTATAGTTCGAACAATTGAAAATGTCCAAGAAGTTTATTTAGGCTTCTTGAAATTGACGTAATGGGTCTCTTTTCATCCTTTGCGCAATGCAATGTGTAGAAAAAGGACAGTTAGCTATTTGATTATTTTAATTAATCTAATATAAATAAATAAATTTAATTTATATATAATTAATTTATATATAAATTAAAATTTTAAAACTGTACCAAATAACACTTTTAAATGAAAACTATGATAACACAATACATTTGTCTAGTGAAAATATGACACAAAATCCTGTTTTTACACTTTACTGCAGTAATTTTTACAAGTTATTATATAGTACTGCATGATTGACAACCGCGCTGTCAGTCGAACAAACGAAGACTGTTGCGCGATTGACGCTCTGTATGCGATTTGAAAGCCCTATAGGTGCGGACACTTTTTAGCGCGAACCCTACGTCCATTTGTTAGTAGGTCAATGTTTGTAATGGTCCCTTTTGAATTGTAATGACAGAAACTGTTAAAAGTTTAAAAGGAATTGATGGCTGCTTGTTATTTATGCATGCATGTTTAGTTCAATAAATGTTTAGCTTGTAACCGTAAAGTTTCGCGTTTAGCATAGTTGTTGGGTAATCTTAAACTGAATACAGAAAAGCATCACGTTATAAACAGCAGATTCCGCTTATTACCATTTTGTATAATAAAATGAAACAGACGTTCCTATGTAGGTAGGACCCAAAGTAGAATAGATCATAACGTCTCCAAAAAACAGCTTTACTCTGTAACACTATTCAATGAACGATTTACTAACTGTATAGCGTATAAAGGAGTATTATTGCAATTTGCAAAAAAAAACTAAATTTTTCGGTCTTCATGTCATAACATGAAATGTCACCGATAATTTCTACAATTGGCGCTCTGGTATATTATGATGTTATAAATATATTTCAAGGACACAGATCATTCAAATGTGTTCTTTATAACCTTCACAGAAGAACGTTACACGCATCAGAGAAAGTGAGTTTCCTTTACCTTAAAAAGAATCTGAAGTTTACCGGAAAAAATAATCAAAGCTTACCTTAGCATCGCTGTTAGCTAACTGTTGCCTCGTCTTCTCCAACTCGGCGGTAATATTCACCAACTTCTCCTGCAGTTCTTTCTTTTCCCCCTCTACGCGTCGCCGCTCCGCCCCCTCTTCCCCCGCTTGCCGCGATAGTCGCGCCACCTATGTTATACGACCTCCGTTTGATAATAGTGGCGCTATCACCGATAACGATTTCTTCTAAATCACAAAAATACGTGTATATGTTTTGTGTAATATAACAACGCGGATAACCTGTCAATCTATAAAAGTCAAAAATTCAACCTATGGGGCCTATTTATTCTCAAGAAAAAACAGGTATTTTACAAAGCGACTGAGCCGCAGTGGCATTAGGAATTGATATCTGACGAATAAACGTTTCGCTATATAAAGTATCATAAAATAACCGCGATCGAGAGGGGCAATAATTTTGATAATTACAAAATTAAAGCTTTTAACAACATTGGTATTTACATTTGTTTTCGTGGTAATTTACAAATATAACATAGTTAGTCAAGATAAGTTGGTGGAAGGTAGTTAATATTGCGAAAAGTTTAGAAGAAAAAGTTTACGCTATAAATAGATCATTCATGCATGTAAATCCACATCCTCCATGCATCACATCAACTCGTGTAGCAACAAACAATATTAAAATAGTACCATTTCTTTTACATACTTATTGTCTCAGACCCTTAGCAGAGCTTTGAAAGAGCAAATTTCTTGCACTGACAACACAAACATTGATGCAAAACGTCAATAGCGCCTTCACCCAAGGGTCCAGAACATATCGGTTTATGAATATATAGCGAATATGTATAACCAACGGAACAATTCATTCTTACCTGAGTCTCCAGAGATGCGATTTGTCCACTCCAAGACGTCTTAACATCGGCCAGAGCCATTTTGGCCTCTTGCAGTTGTCGTGTCAACACTGCGTGTTCCCTGCACACTCTGTCGTACTGTGCACACCCTGTTGGTGTTATTTCTCTTTTGTCTGTAAATGAGAATCAGGGCATCAGAAAATGGAGACTTGATACAATTACCACCCTAGGACAGGTAATTAATAACATGATAATAAAAATAATAGTGTGTAAGCTGAGCTTGCTCCCCTGCCACATAGTAATTGTAATTATTAAGGTTGAATATTGTAATTGTTGTAATTTTTATGTCATTCAATAACTTACATTTAATATTTTGCGTGGTAAATAAATGGTTTAAATAATATAATAATAATAATAATATAAAATATTTTAATTTTTTATCTGTAACAAGATTTTTTACAGATTAAAAAAAAACCCCTATTTTAGAGGACCCCACACACAGAAATCCTCTACAAGACTGTCAATGAGGAACCGTTACTGGAGGCGGTTGTGGATAGGATCCCAAAACAATACATCTTTGACAAAAAATACAAGATACAATTATTTGAAGATCCCAACGAAGGACTGAACCCCAGAGAGGTCCGAGTCTTCACTGACGGATCTAAAACAAACTCAGGAACAGGTACTGGGGTATTCTCAGAAGACCTCAATATTAGGATTTCAGCACCGCTTGGTGACCACAACACAGTATTCCAGGCTGAATGCATGGGCATCAAGTTGGCGGCAGAAGCAATCATAGAGAGAAGAGTAAAGAACTATTCCATTCGAATACTCTCCGACAGTATGTCAGTACTTCAAGCACTGAATAGCTATGACATAAACTCAGGGCTCATTTACGAATACCATCAAGCACTCATGGAGATACAAAACCACGTAACTCTTCAGTGGATTAAAGGACACAGCGGCTCACGTGGCAATGATGCAGCAGATGAACTAGCCAGGAAAGGGTCGGAGACGGACGCTGTAGGACCAGAACCGATAGTGTCCCTCCCCTGCCAATGGTCCATAAAGGTACAAAATCTTCACATAATAATATAATATAATACATGGACCACCCTTACGGTTTGTAGACAGGCGAGGGAAGCACTCCCAACGCTCAATGCCAGTCTATCTCGAATACTAATTAAACTTAAAAGGCAAGAGCTTCGCAGTCTAACTGCCGCCCTAACGGGTCATGGACCATACAATAAACACCTTTTCAATTTAGGTATCACAGACAGCCCTCTATGCAGAGCGTGCAAGGAGGGGGAGGAAACTCAAAAAAAAAAAAAAAACCTATATCTAGCGCATCCTCCAGGGCTCCGGCGTGGCCAACTACAGGGCAAAGTACCTTGGAGTGCCAAGGTCGCTCCCCGAAGTCTTCAGCAAACCAAGGAGGCTGCTGAGATTACTGGAGGAGCTTGGGTGGCACGAGTAGGACCCTGCACCCACCACACGCAAAATAGGCGCTTTATCGTCGAGTTGCGGATACCAGCCCGTTGCACCAAGTACCCACCCTATTTTAATTTGATAGCATATAAAATTAAGCAGTAATAGTTGTACAAATTGTTGAACTCAGATGATTATCTCCGTGCCTTACAAGCCTGTAATCTTAGAAATATGTGTTCGACCATATTATTTGAGCTATTTGAGTAAAAGCTACAAACATTATTAGACGTCGGTCCTAAATAGGAGCAAGGTTTAAATTAATATAGATGAAAATTATGTAGCAAAATACAAAGAACAGTATAAGTGTGCTCACATACACTCACACACATACTAGTTCTTTTTAATTCTCGACCACAGCATGAAGACGCTGTTATCTATCTCTTGCATCTACATATTTACTTCTAAGATTAAGTTATTTTTAACATGACGGAGAGAACTATCATGTGTTCTCATTCTCCACAACACTTTAATAGAAGATTGTACAACAGGGTAAAATGGGTTTTATGAACGAGTTACACTCGCTTTTCACTTCGATTGCGAGGAAATTAAACAGCAATATTACAAATAAACAATTATTTAACTAAAATTGAATGTAAAATTACAATAATTAGACGTATTTAATGTGATGGATGGATGTGCATAAAATAGGATTTTATGCCCTAGAGCATAAAATCCTATTTTATGCACTAGGGCATAAAATTCTATTTTATGCACTAGGGCATAAAATCCTATTTTATGCACTAGGGCATAAAATCCTATTTTATGCACTAGGGCATAAAATCCTATTTTATGCAGCCTACACCCAGCATAAATACGAACTTTAAGAGCATGAGAAGTGAAAAACATTAAATGTAAGGCAACTGGCAACCTACTTGTACCAGCTGCAATATTCTGAGTTAATAAATAATTGATAAATAAATAACCAACTGATCGAAATTCAGTAATTCAAGCAATCAAGTAATTCATCAAAATTCGCAATTGAAGTTTTCACAGGATATCAGGATTCACATGGAAGTTTTAAAACTTGCTGTTTAATACGCACCGTCTTCATGCATGTGATGATGTGGACTTTCTACAGGCAAGGCGGCCTTAACAAGAGCCAAACCGTCTGCAAGATCGCGAACTCGCGCGTCAGCCGCCCCTAACGTCGCAGTGAGCTCTGCTCTCTCACGGGCCCATTCTCTTCTCGACTGTTCTAGCTCCTCCTTTAAAAGAATATCTGGTATATAGGGTCCTGGTTTCATACACAGGTTTATTGCACATTTATGTCCAAAAGTTAGCGCTCTTTATTAAAATATTAACGTGACTAATCTTAGAAATATAATTCGAGGTAAACTCGTAAATTATGTCGGTACTTATTTATGCAATATTTGTTTACTGAGCTGCAATATTTTTTTTTGTGAAAATACTCCACTATATAGGTTGTTATTAAATATTATAATAATAAATGATACAAATATCAAACACAAATAAAAGTTCCTTCAATTCCTAAGGAATTTTCTTTTGTGTTCGATCTTTATATCAATATTTATTTAAGGTTTTAAAAATTTTTTGTATATAGGACTCTATTAGGTTCAATTGCATTGTCTATTTATTGGTCGCAAATGAACCAAAGAACTGATTATCATTATCGTTTTATTTGAATATCATAGAAATTTCGACACTATAATTTAATAAACCAACTAAAAAGGAGCATCTGAGGATCCAACAGTCAAAAGTTAATGTTCTCTCAACAAATAATTATTCTCTCAGAATTATTTCTGCAGAATACAACAAGGTAATGTTCAGAGATAATTAAAAAAGCTATAGATTAACAAAAAGTTTAATCAAAACAAAAACGAAATATTAAGTAATAAATGTTTCGGAGTATTTTCTAAAAATGTTCTATTGCATTCACTTCATTTGTAGCATGCTTTACAAATATTTGTGTGCCAAAGAATGCGTTGCGCATGAGTGATTGTAATAAAAGGCATTAAGTCAGAGACTTGTTACAAAAACACTATTCAAGGACAAAACTCTATGTGTCTTTATCTTTATCGAAAAGCTTGTTATTGTGAATTATACATGCTATATTGATAAACAATTTAGTTTATACAGAAATAAAATTCCATAACGCATTGATTCATGATGGCGACCACGCCCTACACATGGTTTAATCCGCAATTGACCATTTACATAATTATATGTTAGTGGAAACATTCGAGATGAATAAAGATATAAAACTCACAGTAACAGCATCTAGCCTATCCTGTGCCCGCTCAGCTGCAGCCAGTCTTGCTCGGAGTTCATTCAGTTGTTTTCCAGCTGCATCCCTTTCACTAATAGCCTTTGCAGCTTCAGCTTGGGCAGTTCTGGCTACCGCCTGCGCTGCTGCTGCTTCTTCGCCTGTATTCCAACAAAAAAGAATCATCAAAATCGGTTCACAAATGTCGGAGTAATCGCGTAACATACACAAAAAACAAAAACAATCAAATTAAGAACGTCCGCCTTTTTTGAAGTCGGTTAAAATGATGTATATTAGTCAGTTTCACATTAAACTATAAAGTAAAATATGTGGAATCCTAAATAAAAATGCTTTGTACTACTAACAACTGACAGCCTTTATCAGTCGTCTGATGCTAATTGCTGTCGCATTTAGAATGCATATACATTCATTGTAGATAACTGTGCTATTATACTTAAAAAACAAACATAGGTAATATCCTATTACTAAGCATTTAGTATGCTCAATGAGCTAAATACATAATAAATATTGCTCAAATTACGTACCTTCAAAAATTGTCTCTGTATTTTAATTAATTGGGTGCCAAACATGGAGCTTGATTAAGTCTCTCAGCCAAAGACTAAAGGTGTGTCAACAAGGGATGGAGAGAAGCATGCTACATATCAAGCTGAGAGACAAAGGAGACTCTCCAGAATTAGAAAGGCAACCAAGGTGACAGATGTCACAACGAAAATCAAAAGTTTGGTGGTGTGACATGTGACCCATTGGTATCCAAAAGATGGAAAGAATAGAGGAAGGCCAACAAGAATGTGGGAAGGCCATCTGCCCCGAGAATAGTGCCGGTCGGCACAAGACCGTTGCTTATGGAGAAATATGGAGGAGGCCTATGTCAGAGGACAACCTGATTAGAATCAGAACCGATGCTGATGTTAGAATTAAGAATTATTACATTATTAGCTTACTTCTTGCTAACCTAATGTTTAGACTTAGAATTAATTTAGAAGTAATCAGTGAATAAAGGCTATTTTTATCTTATTTTCTTATTTAAATTAATTGAAAATCAGAAGCAAAGACATTATATACCCAACATTGAATAAAGTAAAAAATAATAATGAGTTTTGAACATTTGGCAGATGTTTGGTTCATAAGCTAGTAAAAAGTATCAAAAATTCTCACCTTGTACAGTCGCAAGTGACAATTTTAGTTCTTCAATTTTCTGTTCCCAATATGTGTCTCTTTCTTTGAGTTTAGCTTCTAACTGTGCTGAATACTGTTGTTGCAAAGCAACCTGATCTATTCGTCCACCTGTCCTATCCGACAGATATGACTCCAGCTGTGGAGATATTGACTAAAAATGAAGTAAATTGCATTTACATAATTATATAAAATCACAAAATTCACATTAAATTTTACAAAATAAAAGTGACTTTCTTATAGGTCTGGCACTCCTAACAAACTTCATGTAATAGTTTTATGGGGTACAATAAAAACTATAAAACAAATTATATTCCCCTTAGTACTACGGATACAGAATACATCTTGAAAGTGTGTTGAAATAATTTTTAATATAAGATTTATAAAATCAGTGTTTTTTATTACGCCCATGGTATTGGTATTATCCTCATGCCTCACACTAACTTCAAAGTAAATTTTTCAATGTCCTTTTACAATAACACTTACATCAGATGTAGAGTCTCCTATTCCACCAGAACTTGAAGGACTTGCAGTTGACTGAAATTAACAATACAGAAATAATCTGCTGTTATATTTTTATGCATGATTCCTATTGTAAGTAAAAAGGGATTAATTTTCAGTAAACATAACTTGAAAGCGAAAACTTCAACAGCCATTATGACCAGTAACCATAATGAGAAAATAAAGGATAGTTTTACTTTCAGACTGAAACATACAACAACACAGAACTTTTTAAATACTCTCAATATCTACACAAAGTGAGACATGTAATAGATGTACACCAAATGCACTGATAGAGTAAAAATAAAAAGAATTGTGTGCTTTTTTTTGTAATCACAAAATATACTAAACCAATTTCCAGACTGCTTTGATATTGGAAAGGTTTAGTTTACAATTTTTTTAAATTAAGTATTCATTTTACTTCCATCTAACCTGATGGAAAGTGACAATGGAGCATTCACATCCAAATTATGCCTTGAAAAGGACCGTGTTATACCGTTATAGAAAGGTCATAAGCATTGCTTACTAGGAATGTTATAATTTAAGATATTTATGTGTAACAGTATTATTGCAGATATTCTGCTTCAAATGTAGAATAACTAGTTCACAAAAAGAACCTGTGGAGTCTAAGGCTTAGGCAAAGATTAGCTTAAGAACCAACTGAGATATTATAGAAGTGATTTTTTTTAAAACGAGAAATTGTTTCTGTGCTGTAAGGATGCTGATGAAAAAGATAAAATTGCTTGCAATTTGAAATTAAATTACACAAATCAATGTTTCTATTTCTCATATGAGAGCAGGGTCATGTACAACTGTAGTAAGATAAATTACTTTACAAAAAGTTCCACATTGGTGATGGAGAATGTAACAAATTGTCTGTAGGATACATTAATAAATCGACAATGCCTAAGTAAACCTTACCGAATCGTCTCTGAGTGTAATTCTGCCTAAAAATGCACCATTTCGCCAACTACTCGTTAGTTTACTGATATCGCTCCCAGTCTCCTCTTTTATCTTACTTTTGAGACTCGCAAACATTTTTATTGAAACTGATTACTGCAAAAAGGTTTTAAATAAACAATTAGTGGAGCAGATACCAGACAAATAAGGCATTTTTTTCTAAGTTGAAACGTTCGATAACTTTACCAGTGTGCTCTACACTTTGGTGCGAATTTGTCACTTAATTATTGGCACAACATACGATGTTATCAACTTCTTTCACCACAAACCCAAGTCATATCATTTAATAAACACTTTAGGACCATTTTTGACGCATTTCAACAACAATTGCGCGATGAACTGTTCTAAAAAGTCCTTATCTTTTCGAGTCTTTTCACGAAATTCCTGAAACGAATTATTGGTTTCTCATTGCGTTCCGTTTAACGTAGCACTATGACGTTTCACTAGTGACAACAAGACCACATCTAAAAACACACTAAAGTAGAAACCCACAAACTGAGACAAAACACCACTCTTGAACACGTGATATTTAGGTAAAAAATTATTCATCAAACGAAATTCTCCTATGGTATCCAGAGTGCTGGGACATGAAAAATTTCCATTTTGAAAAAATAATATTTTTCCGGATATTTTTCCACTTTTGACGATCGATGATACCTGTCATAAGTGGAAGTTGCTGAACGAAAACGATGGAGCCATTACAAAGTTTTTTTCGATGAAATTGTTCTAGATCTCGTTTTTCTGTAAGTGGCTTTTAACTAAACAAGTTTATTTTATAATTCACGTTAATTAAAACTTCAAAAGATATTTCTACGCGTAGAACATAATTATAAATCTTCGAAATTATATTTTTCCAATTTTTCGGAATTTTTTCCAGAAAAATTTCCACAATTTGAAATTACTCAATACGAGGCTATCCTAAAATTGTTATTATGCGGTTTTCGTAATTCCTTATGGTCTAATATAGGAGCAGGACGCCCAGCACTGCTACACATGTTGTGCAACACGGAGAAAGCATCACAATTTTAAACACGGTGGCAACAAGTGTTCCATCAATGCATCGTATCACCCTGGGTGATATGATTTTTGGCGGCGGACATTTCATAAACCTGAAAGAGTGCATAAGACAATGCAATTTAGTGAAGTATTTTTTTAGTACCTATATTAGTTACCTTGTCTTAAGATTCTGACATTCATTTGCATTATGAGGAAATTTTTTATTTTTTATTTTTTATTATATGGTACAACAACAGATAACAGACTACAAATAATACTAGAACTATTACATATATATAACATTATAAATCTGACATCCAATTATAATTGTACACAACATTTGTATTATCATAAATTACATTATAAAAGGACAGACGTTAAAAGTTTAAGTTATTTTTTGCCAATAGTAGTAATCAGTGTTGTTTTGAAGCATTCAAAACTACAGAAAAAAATGTCATGGTGGGAACATATGCTATTATATGATCGACCCATTCTGCACAATGGTCCAATCTGTGAAACATTATTTTTTGTAAGAGGTACACTAAACAACTGCGGAGTACGCATAAAACGAGTAGGTACCTTAAAACACAGGTGTTCGATCAGCTGAGAATCCATGGCAGAATTAACAATTTTGTGCAAAGTACATATATATGACAATTGCCTACGATCCTCAAGACTGATTATGCCAAATTTGCACAAGCGATCACTGTAATTCGGCAGCTTACGTCGCAGTCCAAACTTTGCACTAAGACATCTCAAGAATCGTCGTTGAACAGACTTAATTCTTTCAATGTGGACATTGTATATAGGACACCAAACGGGCGCGCAGTATTCCAAAATACTTCTAACTAAACAATTATACAATAATATTAATGAGGCTGAATTTTGGAATGGTTTAGTGTTACGGAGGATAAAGGATAACGACCTATGTGCTCTATTCCATATGTAGTCGTAATGGGACCTAAACGACAGGACTGTATCGAACATGACACCCAAGTCCTTAACAACACTTACTCGGTCTAATATACCATTTTTAATACTGTATACATGATTCAATGGCTTCTTATTTTTGGTGAAAGTGATTACCTGACACTTTTTAGTATTGAGAATCATACAGTTGTTGTTGCACCACTTTGTTATCGTGTCAAGATCTATTTGAAGAGCCAAACAATCCTTCAAGGAATCAACTCGACAGAAAATCTTGATGTCGTCAGCATATGCAAGACAATCACTCTTAATCGTGTTCAAAAGGTCATTAATGAAAGCTATGAATAGTAAAGGACCAAGATTTGATCCTTGAGGCACACCAGACATCGCAACGAATGGAACAGACTCAAATCCACTCAGGGCCACCAGTTGGGAACGGTTCATAAGATAAAACGAGAGCCAGCGGCGGAGATTACCGTGAATACCAAGGTGATATAACTTAGAAAGCAAAATTGTATGATTAACATGGTTGAATGCTTTTGAGAAATCCAAATAAACCACGTCAACCTGACACCCATCATTAAATGCATCGCAGAGGTAAGTCATGTAAGCAAGTAAATTTGAAGTAGTTGAGCGGCCAGAAATAAACCCGTGTTGATTCGAACTAAGCAGATGCTTAAGGTGTTTATAAAGATGAGTGTATACTAAGCTCTCAAATATTTTAGCAAACAAACTCAGAATACTAATGTGCCTATAATTAGTGACATTTGCTCTATCACCAGACTTATGAATAGGTGTAATCCTTGTGATCTTCCACAGTGAAGGAAACACGCCACTAGATAAGGACATATTATAAATAATAGTTAATGGTTTCACGAGAGCCGAAGCACAAAGACGAATAAAAACCGGTGGAATGCTATCCGGACCGGCGCTTTTTGAGATATCAATACTCCTAAGTTTATTCATGACGCGCTCAGATGACAATGAAAGCTTAAATGTTGACAAATTAGACGGAGAGAACTCAGGGATATATGTCGAATTATTTTGGGCCCCATTAACTGATGAGAAGTAATCAGCAAAAAAGCCCACTATGTCACCACCATTATCAGATTCGCGGTCATCATATCGCATTCGCTTTGGGTACGTGTTTGTTACCCTTTTACATTTGGTGTAACGCCAGAAAGCTTTAATATTTACTGATAAATTAGTCTCAATACGTTCAATATAATCCATCAAACATTTCTCCAGTACAATTTTCACCCTCGTTCTCAGCATTGAAAAGGTGTCGTAGTCAAGGGGATTACCATGCTGTTTGAAACGATGGTGGTATTTATGTTTGTTTTGAATCAACCCAATCAGATTTTTTGAAAACCAAACTGGGTACCCCTTCTTACGTGTCTTGGTTCTAGGTGTATGCTTTTCAATAATCTCATAGATAATATTATAAAATGTATGCACAAATTCATCACAATTACATTCATGAGTTAATGCTAAACGATCCCAATCAATTGATGATAGCTTATCCATGCAACTCGCGATATTAGTGTTATAAAAGCATAGTTTACTGCATACTGACCTAGTAATCTCTAGTAGTGGGATTTTATCGACAAGTGTTACTTCTAAGGGAGGATGATGAGCGTCTAAACGGCTTAAGGGTAAAGTATTGGTTAGTGAGAAGGACTCTGGGCTATCAGTGATCACCAAATCAAGTAGTCTTTTGTTATGATTAAATACATTATTTAATTGAGTTACATCAGCGAGTTGAAATAAGCCAGAAAGAGCTCGCGATTTGTCACAATTGCAGGTCACTATATGACCTTTATCTTTAGACCATATAATGTCCCCCAAATTAAAATCACCGATAATAATTGTTTTGGCATTTGTGTTGGAATTTACTATATGTTTACACTTAGTCACAAAATTTAAAAAAAATTCAACTGGCAGATATTCTGGTAAATAAACAGTGCACAAATTAATACTTATTTTATTGCTAATTGTTATTTGTATCCATAAATCCTCTACAAAGTCCGATTGCCATTCTGTCCTATTTACACAATTAAGGTTTTTGGTGATCGCCGCCAGCACCCCCCCTCCATGACGTTTATTAAAGCGTTTAAGGAATTCATCACTTCTGTCTCTACGCACTACGCAGTATCTGTCATCAAACAATTCTGAAGAATTAATACCATCATTAAGCCATGTCCTCACCATACATACTACATCAAAGTTATTACATAAAAAGGAATGGTAGATATCATTAGTTTTGCTTTTCAAACCTCGTACATTTTGGTAATAAATAGACATAGCCATTTCATTGATTGAATTTCGATGAACGCATAAATAAGCACTAACTAATCAGTATTACTCTAGCGTATGAGTTCTAGACTATCTTGGTTGTTGATGTAGATATACGAAGAATCGGAGTCTTTTCTCACGTAGATGCGACCATTGCGCACCCATACGAACTTGTACCCAGCCTCCTTTGCTTTCTTTCTCGAAGCCGCATGTAGACTCTTGAAGAATGGGGACAGATGCTCAGAGACATAAACTGGCTTTTTTTCACCCGCTATTCCCAGGTGATTTGTGTTTAGTTTGTCATTTGGGTGAGCTTTATTGTAGCGGTACACAGCTGGGTAGAATTCGTCGCGGCAACGAACACTCCTAAATTTGGCCACAATTGTCTTCGGAAACTTGCTATCTTTGTTTAGCTTGGCAACTCTCTCAGCCAACTATGTCGCCGTCATTCAGTTGGTGTCCAATAAATGGCGAGCATTGTTGTAACACATTTGTTAAATTTTCGAACGAAATTCAGGGACACCATGTAACTCTAAGTTATTTTCTCTCAGATACTGTTCGAGGTTATTTAATCTATCTTCCAGACCGTGAACTGTGCACTGGAGGAGCTGGTTAGCACCTTTTAGTTGGGTATTATCTTTGACTAAAGTATCAACAGTGAGTTTAAAATCATCATGCGCCTCGCTGATAAATTCTACTGACTTACGAAGTTCCTGGATATCAGTCTTGATGGTAGAGAGCTCTTTGTTTAGTACACGTGAAAAAATTGATGGGAGCTCCTGGCGGATAGATTCATGGAATATATTTCTTTACTATACTCAGATTATTTAGGATCGTATTTCAGAACTCTACTCAATGCTCAGTTCTGGAATACGACCCTTAGAGCCTGGACGCCAAAATAGTGAGAGAAATGTGTCCATGTTTTAACCAGGATTTTTGGTAACAAGTATTTGCCAAATATGACAATGAATTTATAAGTAGGTACATAATA